TTTTAATTAAGTTGTTAAAGCATTTATTTATGAGCATGTTCTGATTGCTTTAGATTTAACAGAAATTAAATTGATTATACTTTATCACTTGTCTTTTGTCATTGTGTACAAAAATAGATTTTAATTCTTATTTACCCATACTGGTTGAGACCTTCCCCCCCTTTTATTGAGTACTGAAGTCCATAGCCCATTTGTTTGCCCTTCACCCTGAAGCCTAAGTCCTGTATCCTGACAATATTGCAAGGGACTCGGAGCATTGGGATAACCAGCCTGGTGAACTGAGCAGTATAAGTGGAGCTGATACCAAGGTCGAGCACTCACACACTCAGTCATCCGGACACTACATTGTCTATAGCATAGTGTATTTTGCAATACAAAGGCCATCCGGACGCAAGGACCGCTAGCACGTAGCATATTTTTAATAAGTGGAGCTGGTATCAAGGTCAAGCACTCACACACTCATTCATCCGGACATTACATTGTCTATAGTATATTGTGCTATACAATACCAAGGCCATCCGGACGCCAGGACCGCTAGCGCGTAACAATATCAACATGACCCTTTGTAAGTTCATAGATCTCATTATGTTGAAGTGCAGTGCTAAAGAGCCATAATTCTGTCTTGCCTAATTTTGGAGTTATTGCGCTTTGTTTATTTTTACACTTTGAACTTTGTCTGGGACATAACTCTAAAGCTACTGTATTCGTAGAAATTATTTCGCGCTTTTTAAGTTATCCGCGAAAAACTTGCATGTAATAAATCCGCACACAATTGTAGCTCCAACCACATAGATTTCCATTGTGTCATTATGAAGTATTCTGTTCCCCCTAGCACCGACTTAAGCAAAATTCAACGTTTAATCACAAAAAAGTGAAATTTTGAATTCAGACACATCTGGAAATGTGTAAATACGGCGATTGTCATGGAATCGTCAATGTGACTATATCATGCAATTCCATGAAAAGCGGTGTATGGTTTCAAATTAAGAAGAAATTGGAGGAACTAAACAAAATGAATTAAGAATGGGGATCAGAGGTAAGGAGGCCTACATATCACAGATAAGACGTCAAAAGGCAAATTTAACAAGAGGGACATGATGGCCCTGACTCGCTCACCAGAAACAACTGCTTTTCAGTGTTAGAATGTCAATATATTCTAATATTAAATTTGAGCATAGAATATGTTTAAACAATAATTTGAAAAAATGCAATGACCTGGGGCATTTAGCTTTAGCTTAAAGTTAAACCAAGCTTATCAAATAAATATGAGCAAACTTGATAAAAGACTGCCTTAGAATACTACAAAGCTTGGTGATCATCTTTCAATTATTTCAGTAGGAAATGATGTTCGAAGGTTTTTTCTATATTTAGCTTTAGTGGCCCCTAATATGGGCTAATCAAATAAATATAAGCAAACTTGATAAAAGAGTACCGAAGAATGCTACAGACAAAGTTTGGTGATCATCCATCAATTGGTTCTGGAGTAGAAGATGTTTAAAGGTTTATCTATTTTTAGCTTTAGCAGCCCCTAAAAGGGACCAATCAAATGAATATGAGCAAACTTGATAAAAGATTACCCAAAAATGCTACAGACAAAGTTTGGTGATCATCCATTAATTAGTTCTGTAGGAGAAGATGTTTAAACGTATTAGTATTTTTAATTTTAGCGGCCCCTAAAAGGGGCTAATCAAATTAATATGAGCAAACTTAATAAACGACAACCCAATAATGCTACAGACAAAGTTTAGTGATCATCCATCAATTGGTTCTATAGCAATAAATGTTTAAATGTATATCTATTTTTAATTTTAGTGGCCACTAAAAGGGGCTAATCAAATTAATATGAGCAAACTTGATAAAAGACTACCCAAGAATGCTACAGACAAAGTTTGGTGATCATCCATCAATTAGTTCTCTAGAAATAGACATTTAACGGTATTTCTATTTTTAGCTTTTGCGGCCCCTAAAAGGGGCCAATCAAATTAATATGAGCAAACTTGATAAGCCACTACCCGAACATTTTACCTACTTAGTTTGGTGATCATCCATCAATTAGTTCTATAGGAAAAGATGTTGAAAGGTTTTTTCTATATTTAGCCCTACAGACCCCTAAAAGAGGCCAATCAAAATAATATTAGCAAACTTGATAAAAGACTACCCAAGAATGCTACAGACAAAGTTTGGTGATCATCCATCAATTAGTTCTCTAGAAATAGACATTTGACGGTATTTCTATTTTTAGCTTTAGCGGTCCCTTAAAGGGATCAATCAAATTAATATGAGCAAACTTGATAAAACACTACCCAAGAATGCTACAAACAAAATTTAGTGATCATCCATCAATTATTTCTGTATGAGAAGATGTTTAAAGGTATTTCTATTTTTAGTCCTAGAGATCCCTAAAAGGGGCCAATCAAAATAATATTAGCAAACTTGATAAAAGACTACATAAGAATGCTACAGACAAAGTTTGGTGATCATCCATCAATTACTTCTCTAGAAATAGGCATTTAAAGGTATTTCTATTTTTTATCTTTTGCGGCCCCTAAAAGGGACCAAATAAATTAATATGAGCAAACTTGATAAAACACTACCCAAGAATGCTACAGACAAAGTTTGGTGATCATCCATCCGTTAGTTCTGTAGAAGAAGATGTTTAAAGGTTTTTTTCTATTTCCAGCTCTGCTGACCCATAAAATCGGCCAATAAATTTAATATGAGCAAACTTGATAAGACACTAGCCAAGAATGCTACAGAGAAAGTTTGGTGATCATCCAACCATTAGTTCTGTAGAAGAAGATGTTTAAAGGTTTTTCTATTTTTAGCTCTGCTGACCCCTAAAAGGGGCCAATTAGAATGACATGAGCAAATTCAAGTGTGACTGTCACAAGGATGCTTCAGACCAAATTTGAAGTAAATTTGCCCAGTAAGTTCAGAGAAGAAGACGATTGTTGACGCATGACGACGGACGACGGAGGCCGGTGCATCCACCTTTGATATTAATAGCTCACCCTGAGCCTTCGGCTCTGATGAGCTAAAAAGCAGGTAACATATCCTAAGGGTGATTATACAGTATTCAAGTATAGAATTAACTCCATGTAGACATTCAAAAACAATACTGAAACCACACAAAGTGAAAAATGTCAAATAGAAAGAAACTTAAAATACCACAAACATGATTTTGCAACCATTTTGTCGTGCTGAATGATCTTCATTGACTATATGTACTGGGGAACTATTTGAGGCCTCCACGTGGTACAAATTTATTGATGTGGCTATAAAATAGAAAAAAAACGGAATCCCTAAAGAACTCCCAAAACTACAAAAAAAGAAAATGTTGACGGCTAGCTTGGATTGAAACCGTTCATTGGCGGTAACACTGGTTAAAATCTAAGGGTATTGCACTTATTCATGGTCTTACATAACTGAATTAATCTACAAGAAAATCGCCTGGTTCACAGCATTACATGCTGATAAACATTCCTGTATTGGTTGTTTATTCAAGCTTAAGCACTTTTAGAGGTACACATGACACAAAATATTGGAATGGTTTATTACTTAATTAATAGCTATTTCTTGAAACTACACATCTGAATAAATATTCAAGTTAACCCCCATGTGCACAAAACCACATGCTGATCAACATTCCTGTACAGTTTCATGACTCCAGGTAAAATAATTTGGAGTAATGGGCGACACAAATTTTAAATAGCAAATTTTGTCCTAAGAAAAGGACAATAACGATAACAAATAATGAATAAAAAAATAAGCAAAACCATATGTAAACAACTACGAATTCTGACTAACATTTCTATAAAGTTATATAATTATATGTTAAATACTTTTAATCTATGCTGGACACAAATTGAAAATTGCAAATTAGTTAAAACAAACAATAATTCAACAAATAATGAATTAACTCATACGCAAACCCTCTTGCGTACAAATACACATGCTGAGAGACATCTTTGTAAAGTAATTTTACCGTAGTTTAAATACGTTTAAGGCTACGCACGACTTGCAAATCTTTATAGAGTCAAGGACAATAACTCTGGTAAACCGATTTTTCCTTATGTAAAATCCCAGGCGCACAAGTACACATGCTGACCATCTGTAAAGTTTGTTGACTCAAGCTCATGCACTTTTTGAGCTACAGGTGACTGTACATGAGATCGCACACACGGACGGAGCAAATGTACTAAATGCCCCATATAGTCGGGCATAATTACATTCGAAATATTGCTTATATTTATGATAAATATTTTTTTGTGTCACCTGCTATAGAACAGGTATAACTCCTCCGACATCTGTTCCTCGGACCGTCCGTCAAATCAAATGTACGGACTATTCCTCAACGACTACTGGTGCATCTTCATCTAATCTTTTTCAACTTAGTTTGTTAAATAAAGGTACTGTAAAGTGCAAGGTAACGTCCACTACCATAGAACCGGCTTCAGCAATATCCGCGTGTCCTCAATGAGGAAACAATGGGTTTAATTAAACACAGTGGAATTTTGAATGCTTTCATATCACACATAAGACGGCAAAAGACAAATTAAAAAGCAGGTACTATATCCTTGGGATGATTATACAGTATTTAAAGTGAGACTACCGGAACCACCAATCTTGGAAAAGGTCAAATAGAATTAATTTACGTACATAAACAAACAAACACAACACTTGCTGAACGATCAGTGTATTATTTCAGGCGCAAACATAATCTAGTAGAACCACCAAAATTCCATAAGCAAGATGTATGGTTTCCTCGTATGAAAGAATCCAGGGATTTGAGAACACAGCAGTGAGGGGCATATAGTTACAAGTCAATGAACTTAACAACTCGGCCTAAGACACCCTTTAAAATATGACAAAATACAAATGCAGATGGGTAAAATTTCGTGCAAAATGTCATGGGCCACTCTTTATTTTTTTTGTAACTTCTTAACATATTTTATCTAAAAATTAGCTCTTATTTACTTGGGTATATTGAAAAAGCTTACTTCGGTAGGTTGTTGTGTAGTTTGGGAGCCATTTGGTACGTCCCCTTGACTCGAACAGGACTTTCGGTCATACAGTGTAAATTCTTCCTCCATTTCTTTCTTTAAAACACAATAAAATATAATAATATAGTGACAGTTTTGATAAAATCTAATACTTATCTATATAAAAATATTTCACAACTGCTTGGGTTTGACAACCACGTCCATACTGTTTCAACTTTTATAATGAAGAATGACCACTTTTTCCGTTTTTTGTTTCAATTTTTAGCAGGCACCTAATTTATAAGTTATAGCCCTCTGTTTGTTTGCTGGACAGTACAATACACTTTCTGCTTAGTAACACTTTATGAAAGACAAAAGTTACTGATAAGAAGATCAAAAATATAACATCTTTGATTTCATGTTTGGGGCGCCACACGGAGAAATAACATTTGTGAGAAAAACGGACTCCTTTAAGAACGCCGTCTAAAATATGATGAACAAGATCGACAAGGAAAGGTGGCGCTCAATGAACGCAGCCCCCACCCGACCTAAATAATTTAAAATCATGCAGGGTTGATTTAATTGGACAGCATTCGTTCTCAAATGGACTAACAAAATGGGGCATTGACCCCAAATCGCCCTGTTATTCGAGTTAAAGTAATGCAAGCTATTGTTTCTAAGAAAAGAATTTGAACGATGCTTGATACAAGACTATACTTTATGCAAAATATATTATTCATTTTTACTATAAAAACATGGTCCAACAAACAAACTTCGATTTAACATCTGAAACTGCGCACCTGGTCCAAATTCACAGCTGTATTTTAAATGACAAAACGGTAGGTCACTGTGTCCCCCTTAGTCAATTTTGACCCCAAGGTTTTAATCAAAACAATCTCGATACAAGTCTACTAGATGTTTCATTTCAAATATCTAAGCTCTAGCCTTCCCCGATTCAGAGATGAAGAATAATCATGCATCTATCTCTGGAATTATTTTGACCCTAGTGTTATAGTTTCAAATATATTTGTACAGGCTAACAATGCCTTAAAGCTTCAGAAGATAATTTTCCTATAACATTTCATTTTACTTTGTTCACCTGGTGAAAATCTTTGACCCTGCACCAAGAGTCATTTTGACTCTAGGGCTATTACTTTAACAAACTTGGTGGAGGTCTGCCAAATATCAAACCTCTAGCAGAAGAGAAGATTTATTAAATTTCTTTTACATTGTATATATATATATAATATACAAATCAGGATATATATCAGGACATATATCACAGCTTTTGTCATTTTGGTGATTTGTTCAAGTGTTTACGTAATGTATATTAGGAAAAATCAATGACCCCCGGGACAGTACCAGTTTTGACACCAATATTATAATTTGAACAAACACAATGTTTTAAGCAAAATACTTAACGTTGATAAGAAGATTTTTTAATTTCTTTTTGAAAAACTTTCTTTTCTGTTCCTGTGACCTACTTATAGAATGGGTCAGAACCATTTGAACAATCTTGAACAGCTTTGAAAGAAGACTACAAAAGATCATTTCTTTAAAGTTTGGTAAATGTGCAGTCATTGTTTTCAGAGAAGAGATTTATTAAAGACATTGTTGACGACGTACTGAGGAGGATCACAATAGCTCACTATAAATACATTCAACTCAAGTGAGCTAAAGACACACAACAAATTTGGTTTTTCAGACAAAACTTACAAAGAAGCTGCCTATTATAGAAAATAGCATAGAAGTTCAGCGATCATCACTTACTTCATATTGAGGTTCATAATTTAGAACATGTTATTGTTTATGACAACTATTAATACGGTTTCTTATAATAAATGACAATATTTCTCCTGTTATATTTGGCAAAAGAAATACCTCTATAATTCGAAAGTACTTTTCATCCTTTTTTCTTATAAACTTATCATACACCATTTCTAAGCATATACACTTAAAGCAAGAGCTAACGTGTCACTTACCATATTGTTTATGATTTAAGAAATTTAGTCAGATTGCTTCCGAATCTGACAGAAAAATTTAAAAAAAAACACATTATATACCAAGTATAAGTTTCTGTTCGATCACATTTAAAATAATTGTAAAACACGACAAATTAATAAATTAAAACAGAAGTAAAAATTACAAAATCACGAAATGCTCCTATGATACTCATGGAAGTTTGTTAATGCTTCTCCACGCCCAAACCTGTGACTGCTGCAACTATCTTGGAACGCATTGATTTAATTCTGCCCTTTCATCTTGATGCCAGTACACACTCATCCTACCATCATTAGTGCAACGTATATATTGACAATCCAAGCCCTCTCGATCCAGTCGATTACATGGTGACCTAGCTTTAATGCCCTGAACACGAAAAATAGTATCGCTATTGATAAGTCTACCACGAAATGTTGTTTCTTTTCTTTGTGAGCTAAAGTAGATAATCGTCGTTTATCTACGCAATCTTCTCTGAGAGAAGTTACATTTTTCTGATTTATTCATAGCTTAACAGTTCGTTGGCACTTCAGCTGAATCCTGAATAAAATAGAAATTTTAGGCCAAATAATTGATTTACCTAAAATAAGCAAAATAATAGTGTGGCAAATTATATTTATATGATTATTTTCATATTTTACAAAATATAATTTTATATCTGTCTGAGAGAATATCCGGCCTCTAGCAATTCGATTTCGCAACCGCACTTTGATTTATTCTTATTATAATTCTACAAACTGGGTATCTTAAGTCTGGCTTGCTTACCTTTCAGAAATATGCCATGAAAATAAAAATCGTTTTTTGTGCTGAACTGCCAAGTGTTAAAAGCGTGCATATAAACCGTACTTTATTCGTCACGATTTCGTCACTTTAATACAGATAACACGATTAAACAGTAAAAAAATTTCAATTTCATCTATGAAACCTCATTCGATGAAAGAAATTTAGATAAGTGATAAGTTAGCTCTGGCCAAAATGTATGCAGTTATCTTCACGATAATAAAAAATGTGCATAAAAGGAGACAGAAACAATATTAACAACATTTCGTACTCCAGACAATTCAATGCCAAATTCAGTAAAATATTATTTATTAGTAAAGTTATACAAACCTTACCATGTGCAATTGGTTGATCTTCAATTACAAATTACGTTTACAAAATAAATCAAATTATGTTCTGTTACGAATTAGATAAGTTAGTAGAACAGCAAACAATTTTAATCAGTAGACCGTTCTATAAAAATGTTTCCAATAGGATGGGTGGTCACAAGACATTTATTTACGGAAACATTGTGTCATCAGTAATGGCCGCGACAACAACTTTATTGTATTTGCTCATTGTTCGATATATTTTCAATATTTGAATAATGAACAGATACGATGTTCAAGGCAAATTAAATTTGCCGATTCCAATTTAAAATAGCATGGTGGGGCGTCCGTGGCCGAGTGGTTAAGGTCGTTGACTTCAAACCACTTGGCCCACACCGCTGTGGTTTCGAATCCCGACAGGAACTTTAGATTATTTCATGTGAAGAAGCTATCCAGCTAGCTTACGGAATGTCGGTGGTTCTACTCAGGTGCCAGTTCGTGCCTGAAATAATGCTTGAAAGGGCATCTGAGGTCTTCCTCGACCAGTAAAACTGGAACGTCGCCATATGACCTATACTGTGTCGGTGTGACGTAAACCCCAGTCAAACAAAGGAACAAAATAACTTTTGTAGGGTTTTTTCTCCCGTTATGTTTGCAGAAAATCTAAAATGCGTCAATATTTTGTAAGATTGTATGACAAATTACTCCAGTAATATATGAAAAGAGATACATTGAAAACAACATGTACCATTGGAATCGGTAAATATTTGCCTAATGCAAGGTACATGTTATTATTCAAATATTGAAAGTTTTAACAAATAATTAGAAAATATCTTTTAATTATAGGCGCGGCCATTAGCGGTCACCCAATATGTTATTGTACTATTTGTCTCGTAATCACCTACAATGTTCAGCTTAAATTCTTTTTACTCAATGCCCTAATACAATGTTGTCGGACATGGGGCAGCAAGAACTTAGTCACTAGATGTCATTTTACAAACGGGACATCATTCACGGCTAATGTATGATCTTGATTTGAAGGTGTTTCAGATTTAATTCCTCTCAGTTGACACAAAAAAACAACATAACACACAAGCGTGCGCGCACACACACATACAAATATAAATAAGAATAAGCATAAAGTGTGTCGATGGAAGAAGATATTCCTCAAACTTCAGACCTTTATTCCTCTTGATCCACTGAAGATCAATATTTTGTCTGTTAGTTCTTTCCATCTTTTCTGAAAAATATATACCAAAATGTTTTGAATGGTACTTTATGGTGGAGTTTTAAAGAGATTGTTTAATTAAATAGGAACAAAAGTTTTAGCACGAAGGTATTTTTGAACCATATTTTCTCTTTTTATGCACATTTGATTAAGGTACAAACTAGTTAAACCCTACATTTGTGTCTTAAATATACAGTTAAACTTCGTTCGCTCTAACTCGGATCGTTCGAATACCTCCCTTCGCTTGAACTCACCGCCCAGTCCCGGCAAAATTCCTATATAATATATATGGTTCTACCTCGGATCGCTCAAACACCGATCGCTCGAACTTTCGAACCTTATCTCTGGTCCCTTCGGCAGAAATATAGTGAAAAATCGCACCTTTTCGGTCAACAAGCCGACATGTCCTAAATAAATGACAGTCAGAAACACTTGTTTTTAACACCTCGTGATTGTGATAAAGGTAATTAAGGTTAATTAAAACAACTGATACAAAATACAAAATACGAGGTGTTGTAACCGATTTGTTTGTTATGATAATTTTGTTGATTTGCCGTTTATGGTAACGATAAAAAGACAATAACTCGTTAAATAAGTGAAATATGCAAAAGTCAATAAAAAATAACGTTTACCCGGACGGCTTTAATTACAACCGTGGTTCATATAACGTGAATTGTCACAGTGTTATCTATTTATTGTTTGTTTGTTCTATGGGTTTTTACGTCACATCGACACAGTATGGGTCATATCGCGACGTTCCAGCTTAACTGGTGGAGGAAGACCTCAGGTGCCCTTCCGTGCATTATTTCAGGCACGAACGGGCACTTGAGTAGAACCACCGACGTTCCGTAAGCTAGCTGGATAGCTTCCTCACATGAAAGAATCCAAAGTCCCTGTCGGGATTCGAACCCACAGCGGTGAGGGGCAAGTGGTTTCAACGACCTTAACCACTCGGCCACGGACGCCCCCTTATCTATCTATAGAATGGTACTTGTACGCGTGTCTCTTTTAGTAAATGACTATAAATAGATGCTGCTTTTTTATTGATTAATTTGTTTATTATAATAAATTAAATTCATCCCATAATAAACATATAAAAATATTTTGAACATTGTTCAACAAGTTTGTTCTGATTGCCCAATCGAACTCAACAAATTACAATGATTAACACAGCGTACCGTTAATACTTAATTAAAAACATTGGATAATAATTTTGAATATGACATATTCGACGAACAGATGTACCAACACACAATTGTATAGACGTATTTATCATTCGACCGATGTAAGCTAGAAAACCTTTAGGTAACAATAGTTCAACCCAGTTGGCTCGAACTACCGATCTCTCGAACAAATTTGCATAGCCCCCCCCCCCCCCGAGTTCTGTATATCTATTTCATTGATATTGTATTTCCGGGTATGTTTAATCTTTCAAATCAATCATGATATGATGTTAATGAGATTGGGTTTGTTTGATCCTCTGTAAACACTAGAGTGACAGATCTTAACAAACTACACAGTTTAAAACGCTAACCTACGTATCATGCAGCTCGTTATGCTATGGTATATGAAGTCTTAAACAAGAAAAAGTAATAATATTTAATTCAACGACATGGACTATTTCATCGTAATGAACAAGACAAGATTATTAAGCAAGAATAAGTAAAACCTTTAAAGTGTCTATTGCTTCATAGGTGTCGTCATAAAAGTCTCCCGTTGGTTCTTCTACGAACAATTTTTGCAAAATTACAAGTGTATCACCTTGAAGTTCTGTCTTTTTAAGTGCTTTCTCTATTTCCTGAAGTTAACATATATAAAGAAGTAAAGCTTTTATATAAATAAATCTTATCTTAGTAGTTAGTCACGTTTACATGCCATATAACTGTGATAATATTTTTATATGTATTTTTGAATAGGAGCGTTAATTATTGATAATTTGATATTGATTGGTTTCAGCTGAACAGATCGGATGGCAATTCGGATGCAAAAACATATTCCAAATTCACGTGCAGCTTGCATTTTGGTATGTTGTCTAACAATTCACAGCGGCGTAATTAGACGTGTGATTATAAGTTGTCTTAGTCTTTATAAGTATATGACTTTAAACAAGAAAATATTACATTTACCAAGACGATAAATGTTGCATCTTCAGTAGCTTTAATTGAAGGCAAGAGGTATTTTTTCAGGCATAAATCCAGTGTGTCATGTACTTCGGATAACTCTTCTAAGGAATAAAAAAAAGTCATATAAGGGAATAAAAAAGTCATATAATTATTTTCTAATTGAATTTAAAAAATTATTAAAAAGTGCAATATTTTAATTCTTACAAAAAATTTAAAACAAAAATGAATGAGAAGATAAATTGAACTAAAGCAATTAACAGTTCTCTTAGCAATTTGGTATCTTGTTTAAATGGATATGTAGTCAAGATAATATTAAGCAATGTGAACCTACTTATTGTCCTTTCATAGGTATATATCTTTGTGTGTATATTTTGCTTTTCTGCAAGAAGTTCACATTTTCTTTTATGTTGATCTTCTACCTTTCTTCTTTCAATACTTGCTCCATACCTTAAACTAGTCGCTTTTCTATCACAGTCACTGGCAGAATCGAAGTTAACCTTCAAACCTATTCCAGCTGAGGTGAGGCCTGCAACCAATGATGCACCTGCTGGAAAATAGAAATATAAAATACAAAGTTAAGTAAAAAGACACACACACAAATAAACAAGTGTTATAAGGTGTTTGATTTACATATATTGATTTGTAATTCATGCATGGCAATAACAATTATGATAAGATGTCAAAAAGAAAGTATTGATTTTACTAATTTTAAATCGTATAAAACTTATAAAATTTTCTCTAAGCTACTTACTTAGCTACTTATTAATAAGTTAACAACAAAAACGTTTCCGACACAAACAGTTAAAAAATAACAGATCATTTATTAAACATAATTGATTGTTACATAAACTACACATAAATCTTTAAAGATTTTGTTAAATCAATAAATATATTTAATTACAAGCGCTGATAAAAAATATCGTTGTAGCTTTCCGCCATTCGGCCTTTTTCAGGTGCATTTATATTTCGGCAAAAAACAACAAAGGATATAACGTCAAACGCCTTGGCGTTTTGTGCCGTCTGTCATGTTATTCTTTAGTATCTACTTGTAAGGTCGATATGTTTTAAACATATTTTTCCTTAGATTTTCAATAGTCTTTCGGTTTTGTGCAGTCCTGTATAGCTTTGTTTGGATTAAAATTTACTTGCATAAGATTATTCTATCTTGAGTGTGATAACTTGTTCGTGTATTTGACTCGGTCGAAGGTAACCTGTTTTTACTTGCATAGGTTATTTCGGAGTTGAATACATATTCAGCGCATGTTTAATAATGGCAGTAATTACGTGTGCAAGTTCTCATTACTATTTTGCCCCTAGAGGCTGAGAGTTTGCCTTTAAGGATTGGGGCATCAGAATTGAAGTCACCGTTTATCCCTGCGTTATTCTAAGAGGCGTCTAAGTGGGTTCGAATTACTGAACTCTATGCGTTTCATAGCGACAGCAGGTGAGGTTGTTTTGACCCCTTGTGTTGCTTTCAGTTTGTTACACCCGAGGTAAGCCAACATCATCGTTCCTGTTTTGGCGCTATATGACCTAAATTGTGTTAGTGCGCCGTAACACCAAACCAAACAAATAAAAAATTGACATTTTATTGAAGACGCTACCACGAACAAAACATAATTATTTCATTCTCAATAATTTTGCTTCAGTTCATTTTTCCCTCATGCATATCGTTTATAGATGATTATTGTCGTTTTAAATATATAAACGTCATTAATGAAGCAAAATGTTGCGTTGTTTAATGTTATGAAATGAGAATCAAACTTAAGTTAGATAGTGTTTGTTTGTTTGTTTGTTTTATTTTACGCCTTTTCCGAACAGTATTTCAATCATATAGGCGGGTGGTTTCCTAACCATCGTTCCTGGAAAGTTACACCAGTACTAGACTACCTTCCTCCGTTAATATAGATATACTTAAGCCTTGGATATGGAACTACAGTATTATTGTTAACATACAATTTTATAGTTAGATTTAGGAAATACTGTAAGAAATGTTGCTAAATGAAACTGTTGTACCTTTCTCTAACGTTTTGATGCTAAACGAATATGTGCTTTATGTATATATATGCAAAGATACATGCATAAACAAGAACTGTCACGCACAAGAACTGACTAATGCCCCCGAAAAAGTTTCTTAAGCATGTGAAAAGAGAAAGAAGGTAACTAATTGTTTTATAATGTTCTTTGTATTATTGTACCTCGATATTTTCATGATTATGAGCGTCATTGGTTGTCTCGTTATTTTAGACAAAACTTACAAAATGTCATTTATACATATTGAAAAATACCGTAATTGTTATGCTAATAAAGTTCCAGAATTAATGAAATATTTAAAAGCAGTATTAACTGTTGTAAAATATTAAATTAGAGGAAACATGGTTCAATGGGTAATAAGATTCCCTGATTTCAGTTTGTAATTTTAGAATAAACAATAGAAATCCTAACTATATTCAATATATATTTTACCGAAGTCGAACTGTTCTCAGACGGACTTCGTCCGACTGAAGAATCATGAGAGTCCCCTTGGCACTCACTGACGTTTTTTCTGAGTGCTTCCGAATATAGGACAAATAATATGCAAACACATACTAGAACAGGATGCAAGAAATAGTTCAAAATCCTCCAATAACGGCATTTAGACGGGACAATAATTTGCAGGACATTTTAGTTCATGACCACAACAACAAGCAATTCTTCTAATAGCCTTTCAGATCTAAAAATTGTGAGTTTTGTCCTTACATCATTGAAGCAGACACATTTATTGATATGAACGGGGCCTCTTACAAGGGGTGCACTCAGATAACGTGTAAATCGACAAATGTTGTTTATGCAGTAAACTGTAAGCTGCAGATCATTGTAAGCGTTGCCAATGTTATATTTTGCAAAATATGAAGCACTTTATACCAAGGACATTAAGTATCAATAATGCGGACCAAATACAACGATCCAGTCGCTGCGCATTTTCACACAAACGGAAAAAACAGTCAGTGACTTTTCGGTAGTGGGGCTCGATCAACTATATGGGACGTATCAATACCACAAAAAACATATTATATAGACTTTACGAAGTAAAGACTAAAAAATAACGACACACAACATGTCACTTCCTTAGCTTTGTTTAAATATATATTTGTATGTTTAATATATGCAACGGAATGGCCAAAAGCTATGACGACTTTAAATCAGCGTTTTGATATTAATTATATACAGCAAAGAAGAGATTTTATCATTATATATTTTTATAATAATGCATGTTTGTAACGTCGCTTTTTATTGGAAAATCGCGATGTCTATTTAGTTATATATACTCTGCTGCTGCTAATTTATGAAGAAATCATATATCTTTATTATTAATAAAATATCCCAAATGTAAACTTGAAAGACGAAACGTATAAAATAGCGGAGAAAATAAATAAAGATTCATTAAGCAAGTGAACCCGGTTGGTATTTCACATAATTACTATAATAGTTTAGGAGATAAATAGTTTTAAGCTAATAGAAATAATAAGTTTTGCCTGTAGTCATACTCATTTAATCAAAAGAAATTTCTATCTGAGGTATCAATCATACCTGTAAATGGAGTAAAAACAATTCCACCTGTTGTACTAGCAAGTGTCCACAGGAAGCCGTTTTCGCGATGTCGAGCTGATCGTTTTGGCAAACTTCTAGCTCTTCTCTCAAGCTCATGCGCTCCAATTTCCATATCGATTGCCCTTTTTTCACATGCTTCAATTGTACTGTTTACATTCTTAATTTGGTCTTCACATTTAGCGATATCTTGTTGTTTATTCGATATTTCTTCTTTATTTCTCTTTTTCTGTTCATTGTAATTCATAACATTATCATGAATTTTTGATTTAAACGTATCCGTTTTGTCATTCGATATCTGTATAGAAGACTTGAACCTCTGCAATGTCTGATACAAACGCTCCACTTCTACTCTACTAGGGCATTTTATTTTTCTTAGTCTTTCATTTTCCTCCAATATTGCATTTCCATCAACATCAAATGAATACATAAAACTATGCACACATTCGTTTGCAAAATCTATCAACTGTGTGAGGTCATGGCGAAGTGAAGAATTGCCGATTTTTGATATCAGACTTTCTAGTATTGACAGGATTTTTCTAAGTTCCTGTGGATATTACAAAATGTAAATAGTAGTTTTTCAACCTTGTACGATGGGAAAAGGCACGGATTTGAAATTATTGTCACATTAGACTTTAGATATTTTCAAACCCGTTAATGCCTTAACAACAAAGCCAACACATGATATTTTTAACGACAATGCTCTCAATAAAATATTTAATGACTGATGGCCAAAGCACAACATTCACTGCCGCTAATTTTCATGAGAATGATAAATAAAATTAGGGAGGGGGCATTATTACCAGTTTATGTTATGGCACAGTTTTCTGAAGTATTTCTTGGAATAACATTCAGTGGGTTTTCTCAAAGAACGGCTTGCCACGGCAAAGTCCATATTCTCAAGTCAAACACAACTTAAACAAGTATATTTACAAAAACACAGTAAGGATAAAGGAAACATACTCGTATAATTAAATTTGAAACCAATAAATATATACATTAATTGAATATTTCAGTTTTAAATTTTCAACGCACATGCAAAATTGGTTAAATTTGCCAAAACAATAATGGCAGCTAACATAACCTATCAAGAAGTCTTCTGATTCTAGTTTAAACATTTTATTCCAGAACATACACAATATATGATATGCGGATTCATTTTTATACAATGTGGAAATGAATAAGAACGAAATTTATCAAATCTTATAAGATCTTTTCTACATTGATTATAGATTTACAACCAAAATATGGCATCGATTTACAGGAAAAATGTGTATGGTTAAATAACTGAACTTTTAAAGAGAAAAATCTTGAAGCTAAAATCTAAATAACATTGTTTGTATTAATAACGATTATTTATGATAAGTTTATATAGAGGATATTTTTTATTGTTTGTGTGTACGCCACTCGCAAGAATATTGTTTTTAAAGGTCACTCGATGAAAAAAAATTACATCTTACACAACAAACAAACAAATTTTCTTTTTATTTTATGCTAATAGATAAATTTAAAAAAGACCTATAACTCAAGGTGATTAATACCCCACAAGAAAAATTTTAGTTCTACCTATAGTAAATAAAGTATCAACTGTGTACAAAAAATGATTCCAATTTATTGCAATCCCATCCAAGATTTATAGTGGCTGGTTTTTGTGCCATTCGTGTTTTCGCACCGCGACCCCGCCAAGCGAAAAGTCCCCGTCGTTTTAATTCTTAAATCTTGCTCCGCAACTCCGCTGGGCGAAGTTTTATTTTTTAAACTTTGCCCCCCCCCCTGCCCCCGCTAGTTAGCGTGTTTTCGCTCCGCAGCCCCGTCATTTTTACTTGTTTATTTTCGACTTTCGCTTGGCGGGGTCGCGTGGCGAAAACACAAATGGCACAAATCAGCCACCATAAGGATAGTCTTATAAGTTGCTATACACCAACTTTGATTACAGTATCTCGTTCCTAACTGTAGTTATTGTCCTAAAACCATTTTTCTATTTTCAGTAACGGTGACCTTGACCCCAGGGGTCCAAATGCGATACCAACTAATCTTCATATAAGTTTGCTTGACACTAAGTTAATATCTCATTTCTAACTAGTTATTGTCCGAAAACCATTTTTCTATTTTTAGTAACTGTGACCTTGACATTGACCCAAAGGATTCAAATGCAATACCAACCGGGGTCTCCATATAAGCTTGCTGTACACCAAGTTTGATTACACTATCTCATTCCTAACTCTAGATATTGTCCAGCAACCATTTTTCTATTTTAGGTAACGGTGACCTTGACTTTGACTCTAGGGGGTCCAAATGCAAACACACCGGGGTTTCCACATAAAGTTGTTATATACCAAGTTTGATTACAAAACCTCATTCCAAACTCTAGTAATCATCCGGAAACCATGATGAAGACAGACCGACCGACTAGCTGACTCCTATATACCCCCTTAACTTTGTTTGTGGGGGTATAATGAAATTTCCTCAATATTAATTTTAATATTAAAATCTGTTTACCCCACTGGTACATGTAGCCTCAATTTGAGACAAATTTCTCATAAATACAAGAAGTCTTGAGCTAAAAATATAAGTTTGACAATCAACGTTAAATGGCAATGATCTTATTTATTTTAGTAAAAAAATGGCTGACCGTTTGTTTTAATAATATAAACGAACAATTCTAGAAACAGGAAGAGTCACACTATCTGAACTTATTTTCGTTACTTAAGGCGGATTTATATTAGACAAGGCTTTGAATAATGTAAGCGGCCTCCATATTTAAAAGTTGTGTATTTCACGGGAGGAAAATAATTGTGTTTGATTCAGAGGGGCATCATTTGGATTTGTTAGTCATTAATTATTTTATAAGAGAAAAAACATATTTGAGGATTATTACAGACAATAAATAAATGTTGACAGATGTGTTTACATTTAAAAAGCAGCTAGGAATTTGGAAACATGGAATTGTTGAAAACTGCCTTACGAACGCTGGATTGTTTACTTATTCTATTCTTCGGGCTTTTGACTGTCATTGCTTTTCATATTGCATTAGGCAGTTATTGCTCATAGGATACTTAATATGCCCAAATGTCATCAAGAGCAGTTTTTTCCTGTGTATTTTTCAGACTGTAAAAATGTCAAAATTAAAAAATTTAGAGACGATATTCGTAGATTGGTAATTTGAAGTTATTGAAGTAAGTTTTTTTTTCTTTTTATTACTTTTGAAAGTTATTAATCAATTTCAGCTTTGCTTTTCTGACAATGTCAGAATTGTAAGCAAAAATAAAATTGAGGTACCACCTGGGGAAAATCTTTAAAAAGTAGTCAGAGTGAAATTATATTTTGATAATTTTCACTGTGAAATTATTAAAAATAATGTTCAAGCATCCACCCAAAAGGATAAGATAAATTTATATAAAAAAATGTTTTAAAAAATGTTAAGAAACATATAAATAATGAATAAATTATAAGTTAGGCTGGTTTTGGAGATGTTACAAGTTAAAAGACCACAAGACAATATTCCATGAATTATGTCTTCCGATTTTGAAAAAAAAATATTTCTTAGTCCATATATATACACGTATTGTGTTTTGTCGTATAATTAACAACTTCTGGAATAAAATTAATAAATAGAGGATATTTGTTTGTTTGTGTGTAAGATGAAATTTTATTTCATCGAGTGGGCTTTAAAAACAGTATTCTCACGAATGGCGTAGCCACGAGTGAGAATACTGTTTTTAAAGTTCACGAGATGAAATAAAATTACATCTTACACAACAAACAAACAAATTTTCTTTTTATTTTATGCTTAAAAACAGGTTAAAACGAAATTTCCTTAATATTTACGTTAATATTAAAATCTGTTTTCCCCATTGAGAGCCTCAAAAAAGTCGAATTTCTCATTAAATACAAGAAGTCATGGGCTGAAAAATAAGTTCCACAATCAATGTTAAAAGGTAGTGATAGTATTCATTTTATTAAAAATATATGTCTGATTGCTTGTTTTAATAATAAAAAGTAAAAACAAACAATTCTAGTAGGAGAAAAAGTCCAACCATCCATCCATATTTCTGTTACTGACTGCGAATTTATATTAGACCTGGCTTTGTTAAATGTAAACGGCCGCCATTTTTAAAGTTGTGTATTTCACTGGAGGAAAATAATTGTGTTTGATTCAGAAGGATATCATTTGGATTTGTTAGTCATACACCTTTTTAAAAGAAAGAAAACTTATTGGAGGATTGTAACAGACAATAAATAAGTGTTGACAGATGTGTAAACATTCAAAAAGTGGATAGGAAATTGGAAAACTTGGAAGCCTTACGAACGCTGGGTTATTTACATATTCTTCGAGTGAAAGCTGCCATTGCTTTTCAAGTTTTCATAAAGCATACGGCAGTTATTGCTCGTAGGATACTTAAATATTCCCAAATGTCATCAAGAGCAGCTTTGCATGTTGAAGGAATTTATTTTTCAGACTGTAAAAATGAAACAAAAAATTAAAGAGACGATATTTGGAGATTGGTAATTTGAATGAATAGAAGTGACATACTGTAAGTTTTCTTCTTTTTCTAAATTTTGATATGTAAGTTATTTATCAATTTCAGCTTTGCTTTTCTTTAAGCAGCCTGACATTGTCGGAATAGTCAGCAAAAATAAAATTGAGGTACCACATCGGGAAAATCTTAAAAAAGTAGTTTCGTCATTGAAAAGTGTGAAATTATATTTTGATAATTTTCACTGTGAAATTATCAAATATAATTTTCACGGATAAATCAGTAATCCACTGAAAAGCATAAAATAAACTGATTAATTGCCATATAAATAAATACAAAATGATAGCAATAAAAACAACGGTAATTCTTACCATATCGTTCAATTATGCTCTGTATATGAAATAAATCTCTAGCTCTTTATTCTGTCAAAATATCTTATATCTAAATATCCGATACCTTGAGCTAATAATGATTTCAGTTTATGTTTATCGTTCCTTTATACAATGCACTTAGTTACTTCCAAACAGTTAAAGGTACAGGCCCGTTATATATGAGTTGTACATAAATTTATTATATCGTCGTTCGATAAAATTGATAATTTAACTGCAAGTAATTAAGTAGCGGGAGCGGGGTTTGAAAATTTTTTGAGAAAGAGGAATTTATTTGACATTACGGTACCTGTCCGTCAGAGACACATTCAAAGTTTGGGTTTGTGAAATATTCAAAAGTCGCAAGTAATTAAGTAGTATAGCAGATACGACATTAGCTCATGGTCATATAATTATGCATTTAAATGAGAAATATTTTCAAAGATTCACTATTTCTTCTCGCATTACATTTATGTCTTAGTTTCGCCACAGGATATCCAACAAATATGACAATACTTTTTCCCCGGTTGTAAATAGCATCAATAAAAAGGCGCAAACATAGGAAAAAGATGTAATAGCTGACAAGATTAATATCAAATATGTCCATGTATAAAGTATTCAAGTATATTTTAAGAGAATAAGTATTGTTGCTTTTTTCGCGAAACACAAAACATTTCATGAAGAACTGTATAATGTAGAAGTGACATTTTCATATTTAAACCAGTCAGGAATATTTTAGATTTATATTCACTAATGAATTTGTAATATTTAAGGTATTTTACTTTCTGTGTGTTTCGCTGTTTCATTTTCAAAATTAACGATTGTAATTATTTTTCTCGATATAACCTTCATATCAATGTATTTGTTAGAACAAATAACACTTTGTACGGTTAAGAGTTCACATCCTATAAGTTATTTTGAAATCAACAATAAATAACACAAATCATTTCAAGACTGTTAATGTATGATCCACCTAATGGGCATATAAAAACTGTAAAATTTACCAGATAGGGCAGTTATATACCTTAAAGGACACAAGAGTTAAGCGTATGGTGTACGAGTTATCGAGATTTTTCTTACATTAGAAGGGTCTTTTTCAGAAATGAGAAACTCTAAATATCATTTTTATGAAAAAAATCTTTCTCTATGGTCATTGCTTAAAAAAAACAAATAAGAGCAATCAGCAAACAAATCGCACGAGCAAAATAATTGTTTCTACACAAAATATTTGAACTATGTATAAAAAAGTTTACCCCACCCCATCCCACTCATTTTAAACACTTGTTTGACCATTTTCCTACTTAGCGGGCGTTATTCAAAATACCCCTAATTTTTACTAAAATGAGTGGCTGCTTTCAAAGATTGGCTTAATTTTTTCTTGTTGCTTTAATGGCTGATCTTGTCAAATATAAAATACTTTTACCTTGTTGTTATTATTTTATTAGTCTTTGAAAATATCGCTTATCATATTTGATATTTTAATTTTATTTGGCTCTATTTAGCCAGTGAATAATGATAATAATTATTGAAATAAAATTAAACATTTTTTTTTCTTTCCACGAGTGATCCAAGAGACACATAAATAATGTAAAAAGAAAAAAAGAAAGAAAAAAGTTTCTGGGGTATGAACCCGTGCCTTTCTGTTCCAATGCAGTTGACAGGAGTTCTAGCCTATTTGAATACTCTTCAAAGCGGAGGTAATGCATTAGGGGACTCATACCATAATGAACTTTGTTTTAATTACAGATTTAAATATATGTACTTTTACTTTCTAAACTACCAACTTTATAGAACAGAACAGAACAAAATCTTTATTGTAGAGCTTGAGCTCTACGCTCCTCGTCTATATAAATACAATACATATAATAACAAAAGTCAAATCAATTACAGCATGAGTACAGAGAGAGATAAATAAACTTTCTGAATAACATTTTATGTGTAACAGAAACAGTACAAATCGCCACAGTAACTCTTGGCAATTTCTGAATATAACGTATTTAATGTTGTTGCTTTTTTTTAAACAAATGGTCACTAGTGGAGGTTATAGCAAACATTAAATTATAGCAGTTCGTTGGATCGATTTTTTAAAGCACAATTAAGATAGCATGCTAATTTGTTTAAAACATCTATGTTTTGTGACTGACATTAAATTTAAGAAATTTAAACATGCAGGTCGGTTCAAAATAAATAAATTGTCAATATAACTTTCCTAATCCATTTAATACTTGGGGACACATAATAACAAAATGGAACTTTCATCTTCAATATCAGAAGAATTACATATTTCCTACAACGTCTTCCAGTTCTTTCAATTCTATTTTGTCCATACCTTCCTGTTTCGATGCGTAATTTGTGAGCGGATAATCAAATTTTGTAATAAGTTGTCTAAAATAATTTGTTTTTTAACAGAACTCAGTAACTCTTCGTTTTTGAAGTCATGTTTAATATGCCTTATATACAGTTAACACTCTGTTGTTCTCTAAGCTACTTTTCCATTCTTGAGTGAAAACAGTCTAACAAACGCTGTTTAAATTGTATAATAAATGTGACTTTCATTACAATTTAAAGGGTTTTTTCCCAAACATACCCATAACCAAACGTATATAACATTGATTTTACATTTGACCCAACCAAATTAGTTTTTTATTCTTTTGTACGTTTTCCAGCATAATTGAATACACCGTTTTTAAAACACCCAATTTCTAGTTTTTAACACTTTAAACCAAAATTTAAGCACTTTAATGTAGCGATTGATATACAGCGGGGAATCGTCCTAATTCAACCATATTACACCAGCATTGCTTGTGGATATCTTAACATTTAATACTCGTTTGCAGAACTTCAAGTGTATACGCTCCATCTCTTTACATTTGGTAAAACCCCACACCTCAGCTGAATAATTTAAAATCGAGGTTACAAACGAATCGAATAAACTATACATAGTTTTTGGGGGAAAACTCGAACTCTTTCGTCATTAACTAATAATGTATTCATTGCTTTAACCGCGCTTTACCCACTAACATTTGGGAATTAAGATTGAATCCACCATTTGAAACCAAATACGACACCTAGATAGTTTAAAGTTATCGGCTGTTTCTAATGTACTTCCATCGTATGTCCATTTTCTCATCAATCATGTAATCTTCCACTTCTTTCGAAATACCATCACTTGGATTTTTCCGTGTTTACTTTCAAACCCCATCGATTTACAATATGTGTTTAAGTCATTTAAACTCAGTTTGAAGATCCTCGATGTTATGTCCGATAATAGCACCATATCGTCTGCAATATTGGAAAAGGTTGTTTATTCGCCAATAATTAAAAGACCACTTCCCTGGTCTAGATCCTAAGGGAATTAAATTTCTAGGTCTTCACATAAACATAAGACCAGAAAAGTAGGGGAAACAGATCTCTCCTTGGGTTTTAGCCAACGATTAAGTCCAAGGGAAATCCGAATATTGGGTTACAGTGCCTGACACCGGCATCTCACGTATTTCATACCATTGATCTTATAATCCGTAGCATTTTAAACCATTTATTCCCAAGTTTAACATTTTAAACCCATTTAAAGCATTTCTGTAAACGCTGTCAAAACCTTTTTTTCATATCTATTAAATGTGCATAAAGTCTTTTCCCCATTATTTAAAATACTTCTTATTATTACTATTTAAACAGGAAAATCCGCATCTGTTAAGTGGAAAACCCTTTTTTAAATCCAAATTGTGAGTCTTCAAATAACATCATGCGTAAAACACCAAAGAGATAATCTAGCTATTTAGAATAGAAAGTAAAAACAATTTTGCACAGAACACGATTAAATGTTTTCCCCTATTAGTTATTCACGGTTCAATTTTTTGTCGCCTTTTCTTGGAAAAAGGGTATTATTATCCATCCATCAAGGCCCAGAAGGAAAAATAAGCCACTGGAGAATTCTTTTAAATTTAAAGTCAACCAAGTGTGACGTAGAAATATCCTCCCCACTTCCCAATTAAATAATTTCATTTATAATTTTTCATCACTCGATTGCCACGCCTTTTCCGCACGGCTTAAGACCCTTTGATCGGTTTCGGATTACTTCATGACTTGCTAAATTAACAACAATCCAGCTTCCTCAAATTAGGGGTTGTCCGCTGTCAGGTTTTTCACTACAAAAATTCTCGCTGTTTTCATCAAAAGTAATATTTATTTCTTGTGAAAGATTCTTGAAAGTACTCATGAAATTGTTCAACAGATATACTACCCCCTTTCATATCTTTTTCTTTGAAAAGTATTTTCCAAAAGTCCTTTGGTTTTTTCCTTTTTAAATCCTCGATTTCTTTCATTTTGACATGTTTTATTTATTTATTACGTTTTTGATTTTCACCACAATCTTTTTATACAAACGTTTTTTACACATAAGATTAATCCTGTTTTTCATCAGTTTTAAATTCATTAAACAACGTAATGCTTCAATATAATCCCGTTTTTGATTCTCTGCACGTTACATCAAACCATTCCGCGGGTTTTATAACGGCTTTACTTGCAAATTGCTTCGGGCGATTTTGAAGGACAGGGTTTTTTATTTCCTTTGAGAATATTGGCTTCGCCACACAGTTTATTAGATTAACAAATTCCCCCACAGCATTATCTATTTGTAGACTTGGTTTACAGTTTCTAATGTGCCCAAAAACATTATTAAACTGGGGCAATTTAGATATTAGACCTCGTCTATAGGCTTCACCGCTTATCTGGGTCCCATCTAATTAAAGTTTTGATGGTACTTTGTTCAACACATGATGTATCATAACTGTTTATTGGCCCAATAAACTGAAGCAAATTTGATTGCATGATCTGAGAACATGTTGAAATCAGATATTGTGAAATGTCTGGATTAATCTGTAATTTCATCTTGCTTACATAATAAATAGTCTATAACGGAGCTCCCATTGTATCCATAGAATGTATACGATTTCTGGTTCTTTGAAAACGCCCGTTTACAAATCCGTAAAATCCGTTGGCTTTTGCACATGTCTAGAAGCTGGATACCGTTAGAAGTTATGATGACGTGTCCATTGTCGACCGTTCGATTGGAATGTCCGAACATAATC